TTGCGGCCCTCTGCCATGTTTAGTTTTAGAGCAATGAAGTTGATCAACTCTGCACAGGCTCGATTGTTAATGTCTGTGAGCAGTGACGTAATATTGACAGTTTGCTGACTGCTGAAATTCGTATTCTCAAAGAAGAAAATGCGAGCACATTAAAAAAATCGTATTCACAAGTACAAAATCAAAAAGTTTTATATTTTTTTATTCTTAATTACAAAATTCCATGTCTTTTTAGTTTGTATTATCTTAATCATGAATTAATAAAATATTTGTATGCACAAATACCAATAAATATGCACGCATTTTTTTTTAGACATGCACGTCTTTATTGACAGTAACCTTACCCCATATGGGAGGTTGATTATTGGTCCATATTCACACTTCATGTCCTAGATAACCGCGAGTTGTCAAACGACAGCTAATATTATAAGAAAGATGTATGATATAAACACAAGTAGGGATAGAATGCCATGGTAACATTTAGAACATTTAGTATACTATACTATTGTTATTTTTTCGTGGACTTGCATATGCATCCAGAACATTTTTAAATAATTTCTTCCTTCTGCTCCTGTTTGTTCACTAATGTATAGACAACAATACTTGTATATAATATGACATGGACAAATAAATACATAGCTACGGAGCCTCTCAGACAGAAAGTTTAGCCCATTCCTCTTTGAAAAACAACTCAAGCTCGGTCAAATTATATGAGATCATTCGTGAACAGCAATTTACAAGCCTTTCCACAGATTTTCTATTGGGTTAGGGTTTTAGGTCTGGGTCTGGACTTAGACTGAGCCATTCTAGCACATGACTATGCATTGTTTTAAACCATTGCATTTATCTTTGTGTTTAAGGTCGTTGTCCTGCTGTAAGGTGATTTCGAGCAGGTTTTCCTCCAAAATGTCCCTGTAGCTACTCTTACAATCTGGATTGAGTCATCTTGGGGCACTTGGTTGCCCTGTAGGGAACATTCAGCTGTCATTAGGAATCTTTTAAAGGACAATTACCAATTGTCAAAATGTATAGGTGAATGAAGCTGTTTTTAGTAAAAGTTTTGACTGGGATATTTATATCTTCACACATCTGCAGCGTCATTGCTCTCCCCTCGTTCCTTTTTCTGCTCCCGCTCTCCTGGGTTTTACTTACTTTCTTTGGCAGTTTTCTTTACCAAACCTGTGAGTTGTAATTTTTGCAACTTTCTTTGCTGAGGAGATCTGTGCACGTCTCACTGACACTTCCTGAAAGGGGCAGGGCTAAGCAACATAATGGGGCCTGGAGGAGGAGCTATGTACAATACAATACAATTTACAGTCACCTCCAGTCCACCTCCTCCAGGAGCTATGACTGGTATTCTAATGAGTTTGTTCTATGTTGCTCACAAGCATTTTGGTTTTGGTGCACATTTTAACCCTAACCTCTAAGTGTATTAATTTACATTCATTTTTAACATTAATAAATAAAATGGGGTAACAAATATTTAGAAAAGTTGCTAACATTTTCCTTTCTTAAGTACTACAATGCCCCTGCTGATTCGTATTTGGTATTCAATAAAGCAGTGGGTTGTCCTTGACAGGTAGATTAAATATTATTTTTGGAAGCAAATTGATAATATTCGTAAAGGTTACGCTCTCCATCTTTGCAAGGACAGTTGTGATTGTGTCTTTAGAAAGTCCAATTGAACAGTTGAAACGTTTCTTCTTCCAATAGAAAATCCAACATAGTATTTATCTAAACTAAAGCAAAACAGCAACATTCTTTTTTTTCAACCTCATGATGCTGAAATTTGTCATTGTAGTCCTTGGCTAACCTGAAGGAATACAGTTTTAACTCAAAAATCTATTATTTTTGTGAGATAGGAGCCTGTCTTATGTGTTCCAGTACATGCCTCTGTCCTCGTGGGGGATTTGAAGCAGGATTTGGCCACATTAGAATGTCACTTAGAGCTTTCAGCGTCCACCTCCACACCATGCCGCTGCGCTAATCCTGGATCAGAGCCATACCAAGGGACCCATCCAAAAACCATCTACAAATAGTTTCCCTCGAACAAAATGACAAGTTTAAACCTGGTGCACAGTTGACAAGCAGTTTCCTGACCTCAAAGTGAAAACCCCTGTCACTTGTAGCAAGCGTGAGGAGTCCTATGCATATTAATGTTGCACCTTTAATATTCATTAGCTTTACGCCCTGTTGGCAGCTGCTGCAGACCCCACGGATCAATGGGGTCTGCTTCGCACTGCCTCGTCTGACACGGATGCAGATGTTTAGAGCATAAAATTAAATTGGTCACTGTGTTACGGAGCGAAGGAGTCACGCCAACTTTGCCAGAATCTGTTGCACCATGATGTTATTCATGGAAACTTGGGTGTTTTGCATTCAGCAATGGGAGACAATAGTTGCTTGTCAGTTTTTGTGGAGGAAAGCAGAGGGGATGCAGCAAAGGTGGCTAAGCGAGAGCGCGTTGGCGGTAGCTTTGTTTAGCTGTCTGTAATTGAGTCTTAATTGAATTGGCGCTAAAGCATGTGTGAAGAGATGGAGTGACAGAAGAGTGATCTGGTAAGACAAAAATAAGCTTATACTAGAGAAGAAATTCACCAAAACAGATCATGATCAGACCTTGATTTGAAACCATTGTTTGGAAAATTGAAAACCTTTCATGTCATTTTAATGAAAAAGTAGAGTGGGGTTGTGTTCTGCGCCATACTTTGGAGTGAAACTTGTTCTATTATAAATCTAATCCAGAGTTTGCACATGGAACAATACATTGATATGCATTTGAATACATGGCTCTTCTTGCTGCAGCAGGTGAACCAAGCTTGTGCATGATAGCAAGGAGTCTTTGTTATTTCACACAGGCTTTCCAGGGGCATATTGGACACCGAAATGAAACATCCCTTACAAGCGCTTCAGCTATTGTGCAGAATAGAGATCTAAGGCACGATTCCAAGTTCACATGAAACCACTTTCAAACTCAATCTAGAGTCTACCACTTGAGAATACAATAATATTGAAAGTTTGAAATATTGTATTGTGGATAATATAGAGTATAACAATGGTTTATCATTAAATTGTCTAACTTTTCTGCTGTTTTGGTATTATATGTTGTCTTCTTGTAGTCATTTTACCTTGCTGAGTTAAACATGTATAATTAATTGCGATATGCAAGGAGTATGTTATGCCCACATAATCTGGTAGTGTCCAGACATGTACGTATTCATGTTTAGTTATATTTCTCTTGGTTGAGTGGTTCTTTTGTTCCTACCGTTTATTTTGATGGTCATCTAGTGGCGCAAAAAGGGCATATGCACTGTTTGCCTTGAATAGGGCGACAAAGGACAAGGGGGCGCCAAAACGCTAGAAAGAAACAAATAAGCTTTTCTGCGCGCAATGAAGTGTGCCCCATTGACAGCAGCGCTCCCTACTTTGACAGGCTGCCATTGCATGCAACATCAGCAAAATCGATATTTACCTGTTGTGAGATGGAGAAACAGAAAAAAGCTGAAAAAAACAAAACATTGATAAAGAAAATGTCATGGGATGAAAACAAGCAGTAAGTCAGTATCCTGATGTTTGTGTTTTTTTTCGACCATCCCAGAGCTAAATTATCAGGTTAGCTTAAACTAGCAAAACCACCGATTTGTTGTCTTACTGCTGCAACTGCACAGTAAACTACACCTAGGCCTACTTTTGTTTTTTCAAGAGTGAGATTGACGTGCACATTCAAATCTGAGAAGTGTGCAAAAAGTATAAGCTTTTTCATGCTGTGGAAGCCATTTTACAAAATCCACTACAAATTAACAAAATAAGTAAAGGGAAGAAACTTTTTATTAAGACTTGCCCATGCGCACTTTCATTGTGTCCCTGTGTTGATTGTAGATAGGTATTTGTTTTATTATCTGATTTTCCACCCTGGTTGTATTGTTGCTATGTGGCTTCTATGAAACCTTATCGTGAAATCGAAGGAGCCAAATGAATGTTATTGTCTCCTCTGAGGAAAGACTGCTTCACTGCTCCACATTTGCATTTACTGTGTGATTGTCTTTCATGTGCAATCTCCGGTAGCTTTCTTATGCTCACGGACATTCCCTCACTTTTTCTGTATCGATGTGGTGCAATTTGGTGTCTGTCAATTATATCGATTACTTCAGGATGAATGGAGGTAATGAGCTTGTCTGTTCTTTGTCTACCTAGGGCTCCCTGAAGGCTGCCCCTGCCTCAAATAGTCCCCTCCTTCTGCGCTTCTCTTTTGGAGCAGGTTACGCAGCAATGATTTTCTGATTAACCCTGTTATCTGCGAGTTCATCTGCTGCCAAAGCTCTGGGATCGGTGCATGTGCAATGTATGAAACATAAGCCATTGATGGTTTAGTGTTGTTGCCATGGAGCCTGCATTTCTTCCATATATATTATAGGATAGATAGCCTTCTGTTCTGGCAAATTAATTGTCCCGATACTGATACAACACCTGTAAACAGGATTGCGCAAATACTAGCGGATCTATTGAGCTGAAATTTGGTGTGTAGATGTGATGGTCGGAAGACTATGGAAAATTTCTTTTTACACAAATGTTTGATGTGCTCATTTGTATATGAGAAGATAAAGGCAAGTTTTGTTTGTCTGTGAACAAGAAAACTCAAAAATGTTTGAGAACTTTTTGACAACATTTTCAGGAAACTACCAAATCACTCTCTTGATACAGACTTTTCAAAGGAAAGGAATGTCAGAGGTTCTAGTTTTCATTGTAGTTCCTATATTTTATTTCTTTGAGAATATAAATTGTTTCTTGCTATCATCCAATTTTTTTAAATGTTCCTAAACATTGTGAGGAAAACGTATGGACTGATAAATATTCTTTAATTATTTTGACGTAATATCTTTCTCTTGCTTCAATTGTGAAGTGTTAGCTACTTGAATAGAGACCTTTTTGAGAGTGCATCCACTGTTATATTTATCCATGAAAGGGATTTACAAACTAAGCAATATTTTTGTCTTTTTAATTAGGTGGTGCTGATGACAACTTGATTGAGGGTGGAGAGATGAAGTTTGTCTGCAAACCAGGGGCCAGAAACATAACGGTGATCTTCCAGCCTCTCCTCAGGTAAGAAAGCATCTATAGTTTCAAATAAGGAATGTTTTCAGGGACGCAATAAATGTTTGTGTGTGATCGCTCTAATGCTCTTCTATACAAAGCCACTCAGAACATGTACATCCTGTGACATGACTCAATACCCTGCAATTAGATTACGTCAACACTTAGTAGCTACCCATTGATTTTTTTACGTCTTTTAAACCATTGCTTGCTACCATAAATCAAATGCACCACTTTATGCTTCTCTTCTATTGTTCAAATCTTTCTTTTTGCTTTATATGTGGAACTGGCTGTCCTAGCTTGATGCATTTAAATTGAATTTTCGTCAAGTGGTACATTACAAGATCCATTAGCTGGCCTTGTTTCCCTGTTTTCTTAAGCTATGACATTTTGTAAATTTTTTATCTAAAGTTCAGGCTCTTAATGGCTAGAATATTTCTACAAAATTGGCTGTGCATGGGAGTCATCAGTGAAATATGCTACCACTATTTTTGGGGAGTTTCAGTGAAGTTTCTGAAGCGTTCTAAATGCATTATAGTACAGGGTTCCTACATGGTTTTATAAACTATTAAAAGCATTGAATATGAATTTGGAAATCATACCTTCCAAAGACAATCTGCAATCACTAAAAACATGTGCAATAGTTGAGGGTGAATAAGTGTGTGTTTGATTGTGACAGTGCAACAACAAGCGTAAATGACAGCAACAATAAAATAAAATTAGCTCAAGGCTACAATTCGGAGAGTTTTGTTCATTAACATGCACTGTCTCAACTAAATAAACAATAAATGGATAATAAATTGTAAATTTCGCCTGTGTGAGATCAATAAAGTCTATCTTATCTTATCTGAATGATAATAATGCAGTATCACATTGTTCTGATATTTGTTAGGCTCTATTATTTTTGTTTAATAATGTAACTTCAATTGAGTGAATAAAGGTCCAGGCTGCAACACAACATGGACACGGATCACAAACAACAATCCAAGCACCTAAAATCATGTTAATGAGATATGTAAATAATGAAAAGATAAACTTCTGTAAAAGAGGCCATGGGAGATGTTAATTTGATTTATGATTATTCTTAAAAAGGTCTGAAAATGAGTAATTTAACTTACAGAAACCCTGTAGTATTCTCATTTTGTGCTACCACAGTGCCTTCAGTGAATGCGTGCTTTTGCAAATTTATATTTTTTAGTTTCGACGGTGATCCTTTTGTTCTATCCATTTCAGAGTCTTTTCCAACATATTCCATCTGTAGGTGAGCATAATTGGAGATGAGCAAAAATGAGTCCATGTGTTTAAGAAGGAGTGTTTCCCTTTTGAAGCATTTTCTTTTGCTTGTATCCCTTCCACTTTGGGTCAACATAGCATTCCAATAATGCTAAGCTGCACTGTCAGTTGTCATGTTAACTCGTGTCTGGCTGACTAATGCCTTTTGCAAACAGATTACTAGTCTCAAGAGGCGAGCAGCTGTCTACATGTGTTTACATATTCAAAGCAGAACTGGTACTACTGAATATACATGCTCCATTTAAAGGGTACATCCTGAGATGTTGACATTTTTTGAGTTTTTAGATATAGTGTGTGGTGTATTGTTTGATTTGTATATGCACTCACCCGAAAATGTTTTAGGTATACCTTGCTTGTGCCGGGTTGGAATCCCTTTTGCCTTCAAAAATCCTTTGTGGCATAGATTCAACAAGGTACTGGACACATTCCTCCGAGTTTGGTCCATATTTGATAGCACCATGCAGTTTCTGCAGATTTGTCGGCTGCACATCCATGTTGCGAATCTCCTGTTCCACCACATCCCAAAGTTGCTCTATAGGATTGAGATCTGGGGACTGTGGAGGCCATTACAGAACAGCTACAACTTCTTGTCATGTTCAAGAAACCAGTCTGTGATGATATGAGCTTTATGACAAGGTGTTTTATCCTGCTGGAAGTAGCCATCAGAAGATGTGTACACTGTGGTCATAAAGGGATGGACATGGTCCGCAACAATACTCAGGTGGGCTGTGGTATGGCAACCACAATTGGTGCTAAGGGACTCAAAGAGTGCCAAGAAAATATCCCCCACACCATTACACCCCCACCACCAGCCTGAACCTTCTATACAAGGCAGGATCGATCCTCATGAGCCTCCTGTTTTTTGCTGACAGGAGTGGCACCCGGTGTGGTCTTCTGCAGCTTTAGCCCATCTGCCTTAAGGTTTGATGTTTTCTGTGTTCAGAGAGGCTCTCTTGCATACCTTGGTTGTAATGCGTGGTTATTTGAGTTATATTGTTACCTTTCTATAAGCTCGCACCAGTCTGGTCATTCACCTCTGACCTGCCATCAACAAGGCATTTTCTACCACCAAACTGCCACTCACTGGATAATTTCTCTTTTTTTTGGACCATTCTTTTTGATGGCACCAACAACTATGCAACAGACAGATAGGTGTACCTAATAAAGTGGGTATATATATATACACACATTAAAGAACATTTATTCTAATATCTTTCTAATATTTGGTTTTTCCTATTTCTCGCCACCTGTTTATCATATTTCCAGAAGTTTTTGCTTCTGACTAGTTCCTCTTTCCCATGTTGTTTGTAATGGTCCATATCAATCACAGCCCAAGTGCCCTGAACGCTCTTCGCCCCTCCCTTCTGCACTCCTTCTCCAGACTTGTGTTGTCGATAGGCCGCTGTTACTTGCAGATGTTTCCTAATGGCAAAGCGGTGGCATACTGCTGATGGATGGGCACACCTCCTGTAGTCAGCCATCCAACTCGTGGCAGCTTTAATGACAAAATCAGTTAGGGGTGCTGCCGCCGGGAAATTATTGTGTGGGAGAATGAAGACAACAGGCGCTTATAATGTATGATTGCAAATGGGGCTGTTGTTGTTGTCCTCATGTACAATGCAGATCTTGTTTCCTTATGTTGTTTCAGCAGAGGAAACAACAGAGTTTAAATTATCCTAATTTCCCAGTTTAAGACTTTGTTAAGATAAGATGTGCTTTATTTATCTCACAGAGGAGATATTATTTATTTATCTCACAGAGGAGATAAATCTCATGAGAGATAAGTCTCATGAGAGATCCTTTTCAATTTACCTGATGCAAAACCGTTATAGGGCAGACGTGTTGCTAAGGTGGTCACTAAGGCAAGCTGGAGTTTGCACACGCATTATGGCATCGGATTAGTCCATCCTTATATGGCTTGTGTTTAGTTTTTTTAAGACGCCAGGAGTATAAAGAGTGCTCAACCACTGATTTATTAATCCTTAAATGATGCCACAGTGGGGCGGCTGTAAAGTGCCAAACTGCCGTTGTGTCCTTAGGCAAGACACTTCACCCACATTGCCTAGAATGAGTCTGGTGTGTGTGTGAATGGTTGGTGGTGGTCGAAGGGGCCAATGGCACATACTGATTGCCTCGCTTCTGTCTGGGTACCCCAGGGCAGCTGTGGCTACAGTAGTAGTCTATCACCACCGTGTATGGAGTGAAAGAATGACATGTGAACCGTCTTTGGGTGTCCAAAAACGCTTTATAAAACCGATTATTAGGTTTTTTTTTTAACAATCGAAACCTGGCATAGGTAGACTAACTGCTTTAATGATATTCATGACGAGATAATCTGTGTAACTCAATATGATCTCTAATCACAGCTATGAACTGACCTTGCTCCAGTAAATGAAAGCTATCGGCTACATCTCCCATACACCGAAGGATCCACATCTACAGCCCTATGCATGTTTTTTTATAAAAACTCTCCAAAACAAATCACGAGTGTTTGTGCATGCATGTAGCAGCTAATTTGGTTTGATTTGTGGGGTCTCCAGGTGACATTTGGGTGGTATTTACACCCCTTGCTCTGGACTAGTTTGGCATTTTGAAAGGCTTCATTGGGCCTCTAATCTCCTCCGCTCCCTCCACGAGGCACCCGGGCATGGCACACAGCTGCATTTACATGTTTTGTACTGAATAGCGAACTTTACTTCTGGCCGCAAGTCTTTCAATATGATTTCTTTTTGGTTGTAATTGTCATCAAGCATCTTCTTTCATTTCCTTTTTTTTTTTGCAATTTTTTTAACATTATCTCCCTTTACTTGATATCGTAATACAATTTATATATTGTATACATGTTTATCATTATTATGTCACTATTATTATGTACTGCTTAAATTCGTTGCTGCTTTAATGCTTTATTGTTTGAATGCATGTATGTTTTAATGGCTTTAATTGTAAACAACTTTGGTCGTCTTGCGTGTTGTAAAGGGCTCTATGAATAAAAAATTATTGATATTATATTATATTGTGACTTGGGTGGCATCTCTGACTGCCACCCCCCCAACCCAGAAATGGATTAAGGGGTAGAAAATGGATGTTTACAGTTTGAAATTTCAAGCCTTATCTCCTTCAGGTTTATGTTGGGGTGACAACAATTCAGAATATCACATTTGGTTTGTTCCTGGGATCGTATCCTGGTCAGAATAGGGTCTTCTGAGTAGAGTCCTTAGTGGAGTGGTCTACGGCGACTTCTGTTCCTATCGGAAGCCTTACTGGCTAGGGGTGCTCACACTTTTTCAGCATGCGAGCTACTCATATAATGATCAAGTCAAAATGATCTACCATCCATCCATTTTTTTTTTCCATTTTCTTCCGCTTTATCCGTTGTCGGGTCAGCAGTCTAAGCAGAGACGCCCAGACTTCCCTATCCACACACACCTCCTCCAGCTCGTCTTGATGATCTACCTTCTACAAAAATGCAAAACATATATTTATTTCTAAATATATTGAGGATTCTTTGTATCTACAATGTATGTGTACATGCAAAACCGGATGATTTATGAAATATTTTGCATCCACACATAACCGAACATCTGCATTTTCAATGACATTCATAACATTCCAAACATGTGCGTTCTCTGGGGGGAAAACAAAGAAGTGGGCGGAGCTTTGATGCAGACGCCGGTACTTCTGTAGCGGCACTTACAGTCTTAGTAGAAACTCAGGGT